AAGCTGGATGATCTCCACCAGGGCTTTGGATAGGGTTCAAACGATGGATCAGGGATGCATTAGAAATAAGGAAGCAGGAACAGTGGAACATGAACAGAGATGAGGGGGGCCTATCAGTTGTCTCGCACCTGAGATTTCCTTCTCCAAAGAGCAGCCAGCGGGGGTGGGTGTGACCGACCCAGCAGATCTGACATATCAGGGTTGGTCACGCCCACCAGAAGAACAACTGATAAAGAAGCATCACACAAACATCTGTGACACTTAAGACCGCAGTCGCTGGTCGAAACATGTCAAGGTAGTCATAACATAACCTTTCATGTCTGAATCAATAAAGAACCTCATTAAGTATTTAGGAAGTGGACGTAATGAACATGAAGTGTTTCAAAATTCACCCGAGTGAGAGCTGAATTGTACAGAGGAGCGGAGCATGCGCACAATTGTGTTCACAGACATGTAGTTCAAAACAGGTAAGATAAAAAAAAATCCAAGGCAAAAATAAGATTAAACAATTAAACAAAAATACAAAGAACTGTCCTCATTAACAACATGTACAAGCAATCAGAAGTTTACGCGTGTTGGTGTGCAGCTTCTCACATTCAACTGCACATACCCAAGTTTCTAATTAAAATCATGTTGTACAAACACACAACAGATCTACAAGTTTGTGCATTTGAAACAGATTGGCCTTCATAATCCAGACCTTTAAAGCTTAAGCATACAAGATAGGAGATTTGTGATGTTAGCAACCTATTTTTTTCTTTTGTTTTATTGGGGGGACCACGCATATGTCGGTATCAGTTTTTATCGGAGTCAAAAACGTTAGACAATATAGAGCATCCCTAGTGATTAGGATCCCCTCCAAACACCTTTTTGAACATCTTTACAATTAACTTTCAGGCACTGGACAAAGGACCGCTGGGTAAACTCAGGATCAGCATGAGAGAAACTGATCGCGTTGTCCCGCTGGCAGAGTTGGAGGAGGCAGCTAGGAACTAGTTTTTACCATGATCCAGGCTTACAGATAGATGCCTTGTGAAGGAGTCAGACTGGATAAAGCAAAAAAAAAAAAGGGTGGTGAAAAAAACCTGACATCGTCTAGCCTTTGTATCGCTGTGAGCCAAAGTAAAAAGAAGAGATGAGAGCCAAAGGTCCTTGATTGCTCTTTTTATCCTCCTTGGTGAAAAGCCAGGATGGCTATGTGTTTGTCTTTTAAAACACAGGCACTGAGAGAAAAGCAGAGAGTAAAGTTGTGTCATCAGAGTAATTTGTGCTCAGTGTTGAAAAAGGGCTGCAGGGAGACGAAAAAAAAAACCTTGACATTTCCATCAAGCCATTGAAGAAAAGAGAGGCTGCTTGCAGAAAGGCTATAAATGGCAGGTTTGAGTTTCCGTGTCTCAAAGTCATTGCTGGTGTCTTCATGCATATGCCACCTTCAGATAATCACTAAAATGCACCCATCTGTAATTGTGGCCTGCTGGCCTGCAGTACAGACAGAAAAGTCAGGAAGATTTGACAGCAAATAGCCCAGAGAAGCGTTTCCAGACTCAGAGTGTGGGCTGAATTTTACATCAGTCTGTTGTGGAACGTGTGTGTGTGTGTGTGTGTGTGTGTGTGTGTGTGTGTGTGTGTGCTCAAAGCTTCATGTAACAGTTAGATTTGGATACTTGGTAACATTTAAATAGACATCAAGTGGATAACATAACTCTGCTTAGTTTTGTTCTTCTGAAACAAACTGTCTGTTTGCACAGAACTGAAATCCAAGAAGGTCGCACATTATGCCTTAAAGAGCAAGTCACCCCCAAATCAACTTTTTTTCTGATAAACTATATAAATGCGTGTCTAATCATGCTGCAGACACATGTGGTCAATAGTTTTGCACTTTAGTGCATTTTAGTTAAAATTTTAATTTTCTGCCTAAAACTGTCAGTGTTGTGCCGTTGTCAGGTAAAAACTCTGCACTGCAGTTGAATTTAAATCTGCCATCGCTATTGGCTAAGAGGTACATTATGATGTTAGATGGTACATTATGATGTCTCAATGTCGTGAGTGTGTGTATTTGTGAGCGGCTCCGCCCTCTCAGTCTGCTAGGCAACAGCATTTGTTGCATTTTTCAAACAGGAAGTGGGAGTTGAGTAAGAATCTGGTAGGGGGTGACTTGCTCTTTAAAGTACAGATCTATGCAGTATTATCCTGGTGAACTAGACCAAAGTCTTGCATTGCAAAATACAAAGTAAGAATTTGGTCTAGAAACGCTCCTTTGGAACCTCCACAGCCCCTAGCAGCAAAGGTTTATGATGGGTCAGTCCTCCTGCATGCTCAGATCATTCCCTTCCCTTGCCTGAAAAATTGTTCCAAAATGAAAGTTGAACCCACATCTTTCTTATCCGTGAATTCAATGCCTTTCGGCGAGTCTCAAATAAAAAATTGTGAGTCTTATTTCTGTAAAACATATGCCATTAATCATTAACGTAAAATACATTCACAAGTCCAGCGTTGCGCTAATATTACTACCAAGCGTGGCGGCATGAATGCCACAAAATTCCCGCATCGCCACGCCGCGTTCATAAGACACACAGCATTTTCATGCTGATTTGCCAGCAAGGTGTGCCCTCTAAAAGGTCCAATAAATTCATCACATCACAAATCCACTAATACAATAGTATCTGGTGTCCCATCCAAATCCCTTACTGAACTCAACACATCCAGAATTCTGCTTCACATCTCCTAACCTACACCTGCTCTAATTACCACATCTCTCTTGTCTCCCTGACCTGCTCCACCACCGTGTCCCAATTTGGTGCCTCAGGAGCAGCTTTGGATCTCCCAGCAGGAGCTGGATGATAGATTTTAAGCGTTTGTTGTAATATCTGCAAGACATTTCCTCTTTTTTAGTTGTGCAAAGTGATTCAGAAAGATTCTTTAACAGGTAATCACACATCTGACTTTACAAGATTGATCACGTAGTAAAACAGTCTGACACACACAGCGCAGGCTAAAGACGGTCTCCGTATTTTATGTTGTCTAACCTTTGCTTCAAAATCAAACTGCAAGTGCGACATTGAAGTTATTTTGAAACATCCAAACCAGAAGCTGTTAAACACGTCAGTCTGAGTTGACGCTAACTTGTCCCCTCCCTAAGGTGTTAAATTGTTCACCTCTGACTTACAGATACTTCCTTTTTAAAGGATCACATCAATCCTCTCATCATGCGAGCCGCTGTGCTGAACTTTAGGGCCCTGAAGTCTGGCTGTAGAAGAAAAAGCTGAAAAATGAAATCCTCTTGTTTCTTCAACTGCCTTCAATTGATCTTTTCTTGACTGATCACAGAAATGTCAAGCTGAGCGGTGCAGCTCTCCATGTCTCCACATCCATCTCTAAGTGTTAGCCCTTCAGCTGCTGCCTGGTTCTCCGAGTCCACGGTTATTCTCCTGAAAATACAAGCTGTCATAAAAGAGACAATTTAAAAACAAGAAGATACAAAAAAGCTTCTCCACTGCAGAATGCATATGTTATATTTTTATTTATCTTTCCCTCATTGAAGTTGTTTTTGATCTTTACAACAACCTACAGCTACCACCTCACCATCAGGTGTGTGTGTGTGTGTGTGTGTGTGTGTGTGTGTGTGTGTGTGTGTGTGTGTGTGTGTGTGTGTGTGTATGTGTGTGTGTGTGTGTGTGTGTGTGTGTGTGTGTGTGTGTGTGTGTGTGTGTGTGTGTGTGTGTGTGTGTGTGTGATTTGTTATTACCTCTAACTACTCCAGGCCACAGTAGTTCATGTATTGATTTTCCTCTGTGTTCATTGTGCCTCTTGATCCCATCAAAACCACTCACCGGAGAGAATGTGAGAGTGTGTGTAGTCTAAAGTTTTCTACGTGTGGACAGATTCCAGATTAGGGGTGTGTTTACTCTCTGCTGACACACCAAGCTGCAATTTTACAGTCCTTGATTTGAACAGTGACACCAAATCCATTTACATGAGAATTATTTCTCTACATATTGTGTCTTTGTGGTTAGACTTGTCCAGTTTAATGCGTGGACACACTCAGAAACACAATGTTGATGCTGCTTGCGTTGTCCTTTTTGTCATTAACTGTCTGTTTATGTAGAAATTTAAATACATTTGCATTTCATCATGTGTGCATGCTGTTTATTTGCAATAATAAATGGAGTCTGAGTTGACAGCTGCCGTTGTTGATGTCATTTGAGAGACTTTCCAGTGGCATATTTGGAAGACGAAGCAAGGCACTTAGATTTTTTTATTGCCCACTGCTGGACTCTAAATTGATAAAGTCAACCAATTCTAAAATGGAAATATTAGATTATTAAAATTTGAATGAAAAAAAAAACTGAATGAAAAAAATGCAAGTGTGGATATTAAAAAATAACATGCAACCTAATTTGCAAGGTAGAGATCTATAAGTAAATGAAAACTATAGTTATTTTCAAATGATCTACCCCATATTATTAGAGCAATGCAAAGCAATCTATGAAATAGTGAAAGCTAACTTCCTTGTATACATTTAGTGCCAAATTTCAAGTTCTTTTTTAATTTTACTAGAAATAGAAAATTACCTTTGAGATATGAGTTTCAAAAAAATAAAAACTATACAAAAATAAAGAAAAATGTCTATAAAACGATCTGACTTGAAAAATCTTTTAAATTCATAATAATTATTAAAAATATTTTAGTAGATCATTTATAATAACAACAACAATAACAACAACAACAACAACAATAATAATAATAATAATAATAATAATAATAAAAAGAAGAAGAAAAATATCCTGTCCAACTAATTTCTTATTTTAATATTTTGATTCCTCTAAAATGTATTTAACAAAAAAGAGCAAAAACATTTTAGAGAATACTATTTTAATTTCTTTTAACTGAATTTATTTTGACTTGATCACGGATCACTTCGATCCGGCGTATTCAACTGTTGTACCTTGATTGTCCGCCAGGGGACGGAAACGCTTGTCAGCCCGATCTGACGGCTGCAAAAACAGCAAAAGAAGAAGGTAATCGCCGGTGGAGGGAAGTTTAGTTTGTTTTGCTAGCTGGCTGAAACGGCTGAGTGATTGTAGTTTGTACGTGGTTCATTAACAGGTCAGTTCGGGTGTTTTATACAATAAAAATGAAAAGTTGTTACGTTTTACTGTAGCTATCGCGACAGTAACGTGCCGTTTGATATATACGTAGCGGCTAATATGTGACTGTTTCTGACATCATTTTCAGGTCTCGTCTTTCGTTTCGCTAAACGATTGTGAAACGTTTTACAAGTTTGCATTTATTGTCAACGTTTAGTTTTAATTCTGTATTTAACTTTATTTATTCTTCATTTCCAAAGTGATGAGTGCAGAGGACACCAGGAGAGGTTCGTGGAGGGGTGGGGGGAGAGGATGGAGAGGTGGTGGGGGTGGATGGAGAGGACGGGGCGGTTGGAGGAGTAGACCGTGGAGAGGAGGATCAGCTGCATCCAGAGGAGGAAGAGGCTCAGGAGGATGCTTTGGTGGTGGATGTGGAGCAGGAGAAAATCCAAACATTAGCTCTCAGAGAGGTGAGCTTAAGTCACCTGGAGTCAGTCAGGAGACATTGGAGATCAAATGGTCCTCGTTACTTAACGTTCTGTTATGAAAACGTTAGTGTGGAATGACATAAAATCACGTGATTAATAACCCTGACCACCATCACTCCCACAGCACCCCTCCAGACAACTCTAGATGCTCTGTGTCCCTATAAAGGATGGACACTCTACTTCACAGAAGGTTTGTAAAGATAAATCTGTCTCACAGGATGTCCACCTTCAGCAGTGAGTGATAAATGTTATTAAACTGTTTTCTTTTCTTGCACCTGCAGGCTTCATACAGAGCTCCCCCAGTGTGGAGAGGATCAAAGTGTTTGAGAAATATTTCACTTCCAGGATTCACCTCTATGACAAAGTCAGTCATGTGGATCCTTTTTATATTTTTAGACGTATTTTATAGTTTTACTTTTCAAGAATAAAAACTATTAGTAGGATGTTTTTTAATCAGCTTAGACTAATGTTTCTGTCCAGGATGAGATTGAGCGCCAGGGCAGCGTGCTGGTGGATTACACAGACTTAACAGGAGACCAGGTTGTGTGTAAAGCACTTCCTGACATAATCACAGAGCTGAAAGAGCAGCCTGAGGTGATGCTGAACTGTTTGGGAGTGGCTATTCACCAGGTGAACATGATCTGCAATTTACTTGATTTAAACCCAAACATATAAACTACTAACCTTTAGGAATTTAGAATATTGTTTTGACCTTCAGATACTTGCAGAAATCTAGTTTCATCTGTGACATCTGACTGTGTGATTCAGGTGTTGACCACAGATTTGGAGAAGCAAGCTGCTGAGCTGCAGGAAGAAGAGCTTCCTGTTGCTACGCCGATCATCAACATACCTCATATTATTGTGAGGTAACGTGCCTACATGAGCATGTAGTATTAATCTGTGACAGATAAACACTAACTGTATTTATCTGAATGACCCACCCACAGGTTGTATAACTATGAGCCGCTGACTCCGCTGCGAACGCTGCGTGCTAGCGTGTTTGGACATCTGGTTTCTGTGAAGGGAACTGTGGTCAGAGTGAGCAACATCAGACCTCTGTGCACCCGGATGGCTTTCAAGTGTCAGACGTGCACAAAAGTGGTGTCTCTGCCGCTGCAGCACGGAAAGTATGCAACACCTACCAAAGTAAGTTCAGACTCTCTTAGCACGCTTTAGGTCTAAGTTGCACCGATGAGTTTGGTCAGTTGTGCAATCTAGAGATCCAGTAAATGTTTTAGTAAAAATACAATTCTATGTTTAGTAGTTTCCATGGCAGAAGTTGTTGTTGTTGTTTTTCCACCCAGTGTATCCAGCCTGGTTGTCGCAGTCGTTCTTTCATCCCCATTCGCAGTTCTCCCCTCACACAAACTGTAGACTGGCAGATCATCAAGTAAGTGTGTTTTGTTTGTTGAAGTGTAATAGAATGGTCTGAATTTAAAAAATGTGTGGGAAAAGATAAAAGCTGTTGGTGTCAGGTTTCTTGCTGTTTGGCCTGAGCAGTTACCCGGCTTACTGGAAAATTAGCGAGCTTTCGAGGAATATTGGCTCAATCCCAGAGCTCAGGGATGGAATGCATCGCGCTGTGAACGCACAAACTCATATAATTGTCGAGATGAGTCGTAAGCTTGAAACTTTGGCTGAGATTCAGGCTCTGGCACAGAAGGTGGATTCCATCAAGGAGAGAGTTGACGGGACAGCACGGTTGGGAATAGCTTCATTGCGCTATTATTGGATCCAGAGGGGTTGGAGACCAACAGACAGAGAGGAAATTATTTCTGTCTGGCCCCAAAACAAGTTCTTATCTGAATCTGGTGCCCTTGAGCCTGTGAGGCTGAAGTGATAACTCCCCCTCAGAAGAAATGTGGAATGCTGTCATCGCCATGGCAACTCTGTCTCCCTATCCCAGCCTGGGCGGGACTGCGACTGGTGAAGGCCGTGGAACCATATCTAGGAGTCACTGTGCTCTCTAACCCATTATCTCCCTCCCCTGTCCAAACGGAGGTGATGAGCGCTGCCCCATGCGGCTGCACGCACTGAAGTGAGGAGAGTCCCAACCCTACCTCCCCACCTAGTGGACACTTATGTCGTGTAATGTCTGAAGTCTGTTGCATTTCTGTCTGAGGTGTTTTTTGCATAGCAAAGCTACCCTCTCTGTGGAGGGTAACTGACGTGCCTTTTTTGCCTCCCCCTGACTCTATCCTCATATAAACACTCTTGATCTATTAGGGTAGCGCCACTCGGGTTGCGAATGACCACAGTCACCAATTCTTGTCATGTGTCTATGTATGTATGTCTGATCTCAGAATTGTGTGTACTGAAACTCTTAATTTCCCTCTGGGATTAATAAAGTATTTTGGAATTGAATTGAATTGTAAGCCAGTGGTTTGTTTTAGGTTTACAGGAAACTGGCTTCAGCTGCTGGTGTTAAACATGGCCTGAAAAATCTGGCTTGATCCAGCTGGATGCTGCAGAGATTCTTCATCCTGCTGAATTTTTAATGATTTTTCACACAACTATTTTGAATTTGTGAGTTAAGTTTGCAGGTTTTAGGTGAGGTTTGGGTTTTCTGTGTTGCTGCGCACTAGCTGATGCATCTGCAAGAAACGTCTTAAGCCTAATTTATACTGCACCGTCTGCGTCGGGACGGAGACACGCAACGCAATTATCCGTCCTTGCGAGCCTGCTGGAGAGCCCTCGCAAGGACGGACTGAGTCGAGCTCCTTTTCTAAACATACGTCCATCCAGATGGAGAATGCAAGCTTGTGATTGGTCAGGAAGCCGCTGTAGTCGACAGCGCCACCATTGCACCCTCAAAAACATAAAGAGAGCCGAGGATAACTAGCGGCAGACACGGAGCAGCTTAAAGAATACCTCACGGAAAAACTCTGAAGATATGAACGTTCTATTCCCCCGTGACTGGAGGAGGGAAAAGATACACAGCAAGTGTTTTATTCGTGGACGGAAATGACGGGCACGTGGTTTAGAGGTGGCGAGCACATGAAGAGGAGGAGAATGAGGAACAAATTTGTCTATGTTAAAAAGTCTCTTAAATACAAAAACACAATATAAATACACCATCTTGGACCGAATACATGACAGAGTACCACAGAACAGCGCTACTCCCTCTGTTGTCCTGGCGGGGAATTGCATTGCAACGCTCCCCAGGAGACGGAAAAATATGACGGCTTATTGTATATGTGCGTGTGTGCAAGTCTGTCCCTCATGGAGCTCACAGAGAAGTATAAATTAGGCTTTACACATGAGAGAGAACATGTTTCTATAAAATTTATGTTTTTATGCTGAACAAGAAAATTTTGACCCTGTTGGACGCTCTGAATAGAAATGGTTAGAAGGATTTAATCTATTAGGATTGAGAAGGAAACTTAAAGCAACAGTAAAAAAGTTTCTTGCTTCTCCCTCCTACTGGTTAATAGCAGAATTACAACGGTCGTAAACAACCCTGCTACAGCCAGCTTCATTTAGCGCTAACAACAAGCTAATGCTAACACAAACCAACTATTAGTAAATAAGCCACAAAGTAAAAAGATCCACTCTGTTGTACAAAATATGATTACTTACAAGTCCAGTAGCAGCAAAGCCAGGTCATCATCAGTCTGTGATTTTGTAGCCTCCTTTAGCTCCCTCAAACGAGTGTAGGCCATGCCGATGTTAACTCTGATTTTAGCTCTTTGCAAAGGCTCCGCGAACTTCTTCCTCTTGTGCTTTTTATTGACAGTCACCAAATAAAAGAAGCTAACTGCTAGCCTTTATATGAGCTACAGGCACTGTAAACAGCTATTGTTGTAAAGCACCACTGTTCCTATCAGACCCACTAAACTGTTATGTGCAGTTTCTGGTCAGCAGAGGGCAGCAGAGTGCTGTCCAATGCGGAGTGGCTCAAGAACCACTGAAACCAGTTTAAAAGCAGTAACTTAGCAACTCTTTAGTGTTGCTTTAAGTATATAGAAAACAATCTGCTTTAATTATGGATAATCTCAAATACAATGATGTAAAAATACTTCAGTCCATTTTCAGACCTCACTTGAAAGGACCCTGCTGTTTTGCTTCAGGGTGCAGGAGCTGATGGGCGGAGAGCAGAGGGAGACGGGACGAATCCCCCGCACTGTGGAGTGCCACCTGACCTCTGACCTCTGCGACAGCTGCGTCCCGGGTGACACCATCACCCTGGCAGGGATAGTTAGAGTGATCAACGACGGTACGAATACGGGAGTGCATCGGTTACTCCACAGACTCTGATACCAACTAATAATTTGTGTTGCTGCTCCAGGCAGCTCCAGAGGAAACAAAGATCAGTGCATGTTTCTGCTCTACATCGATGCTACCTCAGTCAGCAATACTAAAGGTACTGCCCTACATGTCTGGTCTTTGTCTGAATGTCCACAGAGGACTTTTACTTTTTACTGTTTTTTTAGGCCAGCTGTCCAAGTCTGGAGGTGAAACTTCAAGAGGGTCACTTGAAGGTTGCCCAGGGGGGGAGGAGTTCAGCCTGAAGGAGCTTTATGCTGTTCAGGAGATCCAGTCACAGCCGGACTTACTACGACTAATTGTCCAGTAAGTTTTCCCACTGCCTTGTGTCAGAGTTACGTTACTATATTGTCCACTAGGTAGGGGTGTGAATCTTACAAACTCATACTTGTACTGGATTATTATTCTCGGGTTGAAGATTCAGATCATATCAATTCATAATCGGTTCTCTTAGTAACAAAAGTGTCAATTCCAGGAGAACTTCTTCCTTCTGTAGGTTAGAAATCCGCAGGTGTTGGTGATGTAGGGAGCCGTGGATGTGATGGAGTGGGCTGCTCTGGAAGTCCTCGCATCACTAGCTAGGATGATCCATACAAACAGTGGGAGCAGCGAGTAAGCTAGGAAATGTTTGGAAAATCCCTCCCCAGGTAATGAAACATGGAAATTTGGGATTGATTCAGAAGCCATATAAATAAGAAGCTCGATTCGGATGTAAATCGATTTTTGTTTCCAGCACTACTAAGTTTGAAAGGTTTAAGATTTTTTTTAAAGGTTTTTTACATCTGAAAAGTTAAAGTATTTCTGGAGTTTGATCTAAAGTCAGAAACTTTTCTCAGTTTGAAGCTTTTTATATCAGTTGAGTTTTAAATGGCGTTCTCTTTCTTAACATTCGTTTCGATGTCTCACTATGGGATACGCCACTCCGCGGATTCCTCAGAAGCACTTATCTCAATACGCCAATCCTGATTGGCCAGTGACCGTGACGTACGCGTCACCTGCTACTATAAGTAGCAAGCGTCCCAACGCACGCACCATTCAATCACCTCTTCTCGCTTCGGTGGTCGCTTATCTCTAAGGTAAGTTAACTCAACTGTTCACAGACGGAGCCTTCTAATATTCTCTCCGTCGCCGAACGTTAACTTACCGTCCTGTCCTGACCTTCACCATAGGTTCGGGGCATAACGAGCAGCTTCACACTCCAGTGCATCTGTTCGTTCTCTTGCTAACACACCAGTTAGCCAGCATGGAAGCCGCTCCTCCCACCAGAGGAGTCGACGGCGCAGGAGCTCGCCTCTGTACCTGTGGGAACAAAATCTCAAGCGAAGACCCGCACAAGGTCTGCTCGAGCTGCCTCGGGCTGGAACACGCCCAGCTGGCATTGGAAGTCCCCGGGTCATGTGAGAGCTGCGCTTGCTTCACCCTGAAGAGCCTTCGCCGGCGGCTAGCGCGCCAAGCTAGCCTTTCGGGGAAGGACCCTTGCCTGCCGGCCCCTGGGCCACCGCCTGGGGACGCCAGCGAACATGTCCTCCCGGAGCCGGAACCGTGTGCCGAACTCAGCTGGGGCTCACAGCTCGAACCGGCCGGTCCGAGACACCCCGTCGAGGACGTGTTGGAGTTGGACTACGGAGACGACGAGGACACCTCGGAACTCCTCATTTCAGAGGAGGACGAGGATGACGACGTTTTTCTCCCCATCGCTCAGGCCTCCATGCCTAGCTTTCCGTCCTCTCCCAGGGATGGAGCGGCTTCTCCGGCCGCCCACCTGGACATGCAGTCAGTCTGCCGACGCGCTGCGACCAGGCTCAACATCCCTTGGCCCACCGTGGTCACTGAGGCTGTCAGATCCCGCTACGAGGGAAAGAAGCTGCCTCAGGCCACAAGGGCGGCAAAGCCTCTCCTTCCCGCCTTCCCGGAGCTTCTCCAAGAAGTGAGGTCCTCCTGGGACAAACACCCTTTCAGCTCCAGGTCTCCTGTCCAAGGAGCCTCCTCGCTGGATTTCGAGGGGATGGAGAAGGCTGGCATGCTTCGCATGCCGCTGATGGAACCGCTGGTTGCAGCACACCTGCACCCACGGCTCTCGGCAACTTCCTCCAGGCCTCCCGCTCTCCCTGCGAAGGCGGACCGCTTCCAGTTGGCGCTGAACGAGAGGGCGTACAAGGCTGCCGCCATCTCGGTCCGAGCTTTGAACGTCTCCTCCATGCTCTCGGCGTACCAAGCCGAGCTCTGTGAGGACATGAATTACGAAGCCGGACCCGGAGGTGTGGGAGGAAATCACCGTACTGACCGACATCTGCCTGCGTGTGCAGCGCTGCGCGGTCCAGGCCACGGGAAAAGCTATGGGCATTATGGTGCTTCATGAACGTGCACGATGGCTGAACCTCACCAACCTCTCTGATAGAGAGAAGGAGGACATTTTGGACATGCCAATCGTGCCTGAAGGTATTTTTGGCTCTGCCCTGGCATCAATGCAGCAACGGTGTGAGGCCAAAAAGAAAGAGGATGAAGCCCTTCATCTCTGCCTTCCCCGTAAGCCCTCACCGGCGCTGCCGGCTCGGCCGAACCTTCCTCAGGCAGCTGCCAGAGCCCAGCCTCAGTTCCGGATCCCAAAGCGCCCGAAGCCTCAAGCTGTCCAACCAGCTCCTTCGGGCTCAGCGCTTCGACCAGTTTGGCCTCAGAGATCCGGCAACCAAGCCGCTCCGCCGTCGGGACAACCCACCAGACACGGCGGTCAGCAGGTGAGGAAGAAGAAGAGGGCAGCCTGATGGAGTTCTTTCCCTCCCGACGCTGCAGCTGGCAGTTCCCCGTTCGCCAGCTCCTCCTGTTCGATGTTGCCATGGTGCCTTCTCCCCCCCTCACGGAACCCCTCTGGCAGAGTCCCCGAGCGGTCCAGGGTGGGGCCAAGACGTGCAGCCGGCTGTGCCGGCTCAAAACACACGTCACAAGCACTCACATTGTTTTTCACAAACATGTCACGCTCAAGGAGCATTAAAACGTTCGCTGACGCATCCAGACGAAATGTCAAGGGCGCAGCAAAAATCAATAAAAATGTTACCCATGAGCGGAACCAGGCGGGGGCGGCCCCTGGCGGACTTACCCGCCAGCCACGGGTCGTCCCCGTACGCCTGGGCCGTCAAAGCACAAAGCCCCCGCGCATGCGCAGTGGTTGCCACGAGCACCGCTGCCCCACAACCTCTGGAGGGAGCTGCTGCTCCGTGTGTCACGGCTGTGTCACCGCTCTCCACTCACATGGAGGAATGGACAGCGGTTTCTGCTTCACATTGGGTGCTGAGAACTATTTCGAGAGGTTACAGGCTCCAATTCGCCTCAGTTCCTCCTCGATTCTCCGGCGTAGTGTTCTCCCACGCCCAGGGGACGTCAGCTCACATCCTTCAGGGAGTAATCTCCCTGTTGAAGAAGGGAGCGATATGCATTGTGCCTCCCGATCGGTCTCAGAGCGGTTTCTAGTCCAGGTACTTCCTGGTCCCGAAACGGGGAGGGACCGGGATTCGCCCGATCCTGGATCTGAGGGCCCTGAACCGATGCCTCAGAAAGTACAGATTCAAAATGCTCACGCTCTCATCCCTTTTGCGTCTGATTCACCAGAACGACTGGTTCACCTCAATCGACCTGAGGGACGCATACTTTCATATTCCCGTGTACCCTCCACACAGGAAATTTCTGAGGTTTGCCTTTCAGGGAGTGTGTTACGAATACATCGTGCTCCCATTCGGCCTCTCGCTGAGCCCGAGGGTGTTTGTCAGGTGTACGGAGGCAGCGATCGCCCCTCTGAGAGGGAGGGGCATTCGGCTGGCCACGTATTTAGACAACTGGCTCCTGCTGGCACGATCCAGAGAGGAGGCAGCGTCAAACACGCTGGTTGTGATCCATCACTTGTGTGGTCTGGGTTTCAGAATAAACTGGCAGAAAAGCGCTTTACTCCCCTCCCAGAAAACAACCTTTCTAGGTCTGAATCTGGACTCAGGGGCGTTCACGGCCCGTCTCTTGACACGCGCGTGAATGCGCTCTCGCTCTGCCTGGCGCGCTTCCGCCTACACAGTTCGGTGCGGTTTGCGTTATGCCTCAGGCTTGTGGGTCTCATGGCGTCGGCTATTTCAGTGGTACCACTCGGCCGTCTACACATGAGAGATTTTCAACGCTGGGTGGCTTCTCTGGGTCTCTCTCCAGTGCGCCACAGAGCGCGCAGGGTGACGGTCTTTGCAGCGTGCGTCGTGGCGCTCCGCTGTTGGCGTCACCCCTCCCTCTTGGCACAGGGGGTGCCTTTGGGGTTGGTTCTCGTGAGGAAAGTGGTCACGACAGATGCGAGCCTGTCAGGTTGGGGGGGGGGGCTCCTGGATGGTCGCTCTGTCAGGGGTGTGTGGAGCAGAGAGCTCTGGGGGACACACATAAATTATCTGGAACTCCTCGCGGTCTTTCTGGCCCTGAGGCGCTTCCTGCCTTTTCTCTCCGGCCATCATGTCCTAGTGAGAACAGACAACACCACGACTGTGGCTTATATAAACCACCAGGGGGGGCTGCGCTCCATGCGGTTACACACGCTGGCACGCAGACTGATCCTATGGTGCAGCAGGCATCTCCTCTCAATCAGAGCCACCCATGTCCCAGGTGTTCTGAATCGGGGGGCGGATCTGTTGTCCAGAGGGACACCCCTGTACGGGGATTGGAGCCTGCATCCAGCTGTGTTGGAACAGATTTGGATCCGGTTCGGCACAGCCGTAGTGGATCTTTTTGCCTCCAAGGAGAATGCTCAGTGTCCACTGTTTTTCTCCCTGCGCGACCGAGACGCTCCACTCGGCGTGGACGCGCTGGTGCACGACTGGCCACGGAGACTGCTTTACGCTTTTCCCCCAGTGGCCCTGATACCACCCACCTTGCTGAGGGTACGAATCCAGCGCCACACTCTCATTCTGGTGGCCCCATACTGGCCAGCCATGCATTGGGTGGCGGACATTTTCCAACTCCTGGAGGGCCAACCTTGGAAACTGCCGCTTCGCAGGGACCTGGTGTCCCAAGCAGAAGGCTCGATCTTCCACCCTCATCCAGAACGGCTGGCCCTGTGGGCCTGGCCCCTGAGGGGTGCGGGCTAGTGTCAGCAGAGCTGCCCCAGGCAGTCATTCGAACCATTCAGAATGCTAGGGCCCCCTCCACTAGGTCCCTATATGACTGTAAATGGAGGGTGTTTGAAGCCTGGTGTCAGGGTAGGGAGGTCTCACCCTTCCAATGCCCAGTGAACATCATTCTGTCTTTCCTGCAAGACTTGTTGGATGGGAAGAAGGCTTTCTCCACCATTAAAGTGTACCTAGCAGCCATTTCCGCCCGACACTTGGGTTTTGGGAAGAAATTGGCAGGTCAACACCCCCTGGTGTGTAGCTTCATGAGGGGCGCGCGCAGGCTTCTCCCTGTGTCTCGACCCCTGGTGCCCTCATGGGATCTGTCCTTGGTGCTGTCGGCCCTCTCCGGGCCTCCATTTGAACCTATGGACAGCCTGGACCTTAAGATCCTGTCTCTTAAGGTGGTGCCACTCCTGGCTTTGGTATCTGCAAAGCGAGTTAGTGACTTACAGGCTCTCTCTGTGTACCCATCCTGCACCCAGTTTGCACCAGGTGACATGAAGGTGTCCTTGAAGCCCAACCCTGCCTTTGTGCCTAAGGTAGTGGGCTCCTTTTCTCCTATTATCCTCACAGCTTTCTACCCACCACCCTTCTCCTCTCCTGAGGAGGAGCGGTGGCACAAGCTGTGTCCGATTCGCGCGCTCAAGGAGTATGTGAATCGGACGGAGAACCTTCGCAGGGGGGACCAGCTTTTTGTGTCATGGGGTGGGCCTCGTAAGGGGAAACCCGTCACAAAGCAGCGGCTTTCCCACTGGATTGTGGAGGCTATTTCTATGGCTTACTCCTGTCAGGGCATTCAGGCACCTGTTGGGCTCAGGGCCCATTCTACTAGGGGCCTGTCTGCCTCTTGGGCCCTTTTTCGGGGGCTGTCAATCCAGGAGATTTGTGCTGCAGCAAGTTGGGCTTCTCCACTTGCATTTGCACGCTTCTATAAGCTTGATGTTTCGGTCCCTGCAATGACTCACACGATTCTGAGTGTGGGGTCTTTGGCGGGCCAAGACGTATCCCTGTAGGTTGGTGGTCGCTGGATAAGCTGTCTGGCAATACGGGAGTCTCCATATCCCATAGTGAGACATCGAAACGAATGTTAAGAAAGAGAACTTTAGGTTACTATCGTAACCCCGGTTCTCTGAGTAACATGAGTGAGATGTCTCACCAGACAACCCTTCTTGCTGGGCGAAGCGAGAAGAGGTGTTTATCTTGAATGGTGCGTGCGTTGGGACGCTTGCTACTTATAGTTGCAGGTGACGCGTACGTCACGGTCACTGGCCAATCAGGATTGGCGTATTGAGATAAGTGCTTCTGAGGAATCCGCGGAGTGGCGTATCCCATAGTGAGACATCTCACTCATGTTACTCAGAGAACCGGGGTTACAACAGTAACCTAAAGTTTTTATTGTATAGCTCGTAACAGCAGGCAGAAAAATGGGTGAGAACAACAATAAAACCTCCACAATGAAACGACTCCGTTTAAATTAATTTCATTATTAAAAATCTCCATATCTACTTTTTACTTTGTGTTTCTGCTGAAATCCCTAAAGTCCTGGGTTAAAGCCACCGAGCCAAACCTATCTATCTGTTATGTCTGGTGAAAGGAAACAAGCTTCAAAGTGTTTTATTGGTTTATTTCATTTGTTCAGAAGGAAGAAAAACAAAATTAAAAGAGAAACAACAGAACAAACCTGCAGCTGAGTGTCGGCTTTAGTTTCAGAGGTTTCTCTGTTTTTGTTGTCTGGATTACAGTTCAGCCCTTGAATTGTTTTCATTTTAACATTTAGAAATGTCAGAATATGAGTGACCCCTGACGGCTTTCCTAAACGGTTTTTATGATGAGATTTTTAACAGACCTAGTTTAGGTCTTATTTAAATAAGAATCCCATTTTTGTGGCCTGTGAGGATTTTGACCTGTTTAATAAAGTTTGGAAACCCTTGCTTTAGCCACACGTGTTTGAAGCTGCCAAATTCTGTTTTCATCCTGTGTGTGTGTGCGTGTGTGTGTGTGTGTGTTGCCTCTTTCAGCTCTTTGTGCCCTGCCATCTACGGACATCTGGTGAGTTTTTCCAGATCTGGCCCTTTGGTGCAGCGGTGACACAGATACTCATCAATCCTGTCATATAAAATCCTGACTTTTGTCCTGTTGGTGTTTGTTTTTACCAGCTGGTGAAGGCTGCTCTAGCTCTAGTGTTGTTGGGAGGCCGACAGAAACACACAGACAAGAACAGCGTCCCGGTGAGAGGAGACCCTCACATCCTGATAGTGGGAGACCCCGGACTGGGAAAGAGTCAGATGTTACAGGTGACACACATACACACACACATGCCCCCCCCCCCCCCCCCCCCCCCCCCCCCACACACACACACACACACACACACACACACACACCAGACTTGGTGAAATGATGTGCTTTGGTTATGTAGGCGGTGTGTAACGTGGCTCCCAGGGGGATCTATGTGTGTGGGAATAGCACCAGCACCACAGGTCTTTTATTCTCTAACTAGCTGATCATATTTAGCAGTTTTATGTTTTTACACATGGATTTAATTTAGACTTGTGTTGATCTTCCAGGACTAACGGTGAGTTTGTCCCGAGACGCAGGAACAGGAGACTACGCTCTGGAAGCAGGAGCCTTAGTGTTGGCTGACCAAGGTAGAAAAAATGATTAAAGGCTTTTAGTTTGGAGGGGCTTTGATGCTTATGTGTAACTAAAATTATCATTTTTTAAACAAAGCTAACATTGAAAATTATTCCTAGAACTTGTGTGATTGTTAGTCTATGTGGGCTGATCCTCTTATCTGTGATGGATTGCTTCTGTCTGTGTGTTGTAGGTCTATGTTGCATCGATGAGTTTGATAAGTTGGGGCATCAGCAGCAGGCTCTGTTAGAAGCCATGGAGCAGCAGTCTGTGAGTCTAGCTAAGGCTGGTATCGTGTCCTCTCTGCCGGCCAGAACGTCTGTGGTGGCTGCTGCCAACCCCGTCGGGGGGCACTACAACAGAGGCAAGACGGTGTCTGAAAATCTGAAGTGAGTTCAACAGTCTAGGAAGTTCCTGGAGACTTTGATAGTGTTTAAACTACACTGCTTTTGTTTGTCTAAAGGATGGGTTCAGCTCTTCTCTCCCGCTTTGATGTTGTGTTCCTCCTCCTGGACATCCCAGATGAGTCACATGACCGGCAGCTGTCGGAGCACGTGATGGCAAACCGGGTGGGAAAAGGCAGAACCAGCAGCGCCACAGTCACCAGAAGCAGCCATGAGTTAGAGACCTCCATCCTGCTACAACACACAGCCATGCCTCTGTCTGAACGTTTACAGGTATGGCTCTACCTCACACACACCATAAATAATCACATGATGATTCAGATTGTTTTTAGATGAGGCCCGACTGTCATCAGTGTGTTGATATCGTCTAGGTGAAAGCAGAGATGGTGTAGTGTAGTGACTAGGGTTGTCACGGTAACCGGTATAGCGGTAAACCCCGGTAAAAAAGTTGACAATAAAAATAACCGTCCAGTTTTTAAAAAACTAAATTATCTCGGTGGGTTTACCGTGGCCGCGGTTTCGGCGCGATGACCCTTACCAGCCACCGTCGCTTCAGCTTAAAGTTCCCGCGGCGCGCACACGCACTTTTTAGTTTGCAACGGCACCAAAACTTTGAAGCTGAAATAATGGCCGAAGGAGGAGACGGCAGCGCCCAGGACATCCATCAGCCCTCAAAGAAGACTAAATCGGAAGTATGGGCATATTTTGGATTTCTGAAAAATGCTGAGGGACAGTTAATAGAAGACGGCTATCCCGTTTGCAGAACGTGCAGGAAACAAGTGTCTGCAAAAGGCAGCAACACTTCGAATCTAATGGCAGATCTGCGTGACCATCACCCACGTCTCTACAGCCAGTGCAAGGTAAGTTAACATGAGCATTTTAGCTTAAATGCATGGCGTGAGGACTTTTGGTTGACGGAGAATGCAACGAGTCACTATATACTGCAGCCGCAGCGTCCTCTGCCAGCATTTAAACCGTGTCACAGACACCCTGTTGCTGGATGAAGCATCTTATTTGTTGATGATGAAGAGAAATATACAATTAGTTCCTTGTCATTGATTTGTTTACTTATTCAATGCCATTTATACTTGAACGTTTGGATTTGATTACATAGTGTAGTAGTTATTTTAGTAATTTGTTTAAAGTGGCTATTTGTTTTAAATACATATTTTTTAAGGTTGACTTGTACAGTGCTCAAGTCAAGTGTGGACTGGAGTTTTAGATTTTCCTTTTGATAATGAAGAAAACAAGTATATGAGAAAACCAGTGGTGTTTCTTTGATTTGTTTACATATTGTTTATGTTTTGAATGTTTGGATTTGTATAATTTAAACCTGCACTGACTACTGTAACATGTTCCAGAAAAAGAAGCTATTTGTTCCTTTACTTGTGAAAAGTTGCACTTTTGCTAAGGCTTTGTGTTATTTTAGGTTTAATAAACACTGTTAAACCTTTTCAAAACTATTTCAGTTTGTGTAGAACAGGACTATCAATGCTTTCTGAACATATGCAACACCGTTTAAAAAATACCGCGATAATACCGAAAACCGTGATAATTTTGGTCACAACAACCGTGAGGTTAAATTTTCATACCGTGACAACCCTAGTAGTGACTAAAGGAAACTGTTGCTTTTCCATTCATCCAGCAGAGGGCAGCATGGTTTAACTAAGATGAGTTTGACTAAATGCCTGGAAGCCATGTTTGTGAGCTGCTTAGATAAACAAAACTGAACCTGGACTCACACCAACTTGTTTAATGTTAGCTGGGTTTTTTTCCTCCAGACATCAGGTTACCCTCCGTTCTAGCCTTTCTCTTCCTTTACTGTCAAAAACCGTTTCTTCACTCATGTGTGGACTTAAAGCTTTGCGGCCATAAAACGCATCATCAGCAGATAAACACTTTGTGTAAAATATTCAGATTAATAGCTGCACTCTAGGAGCCGCAGGAGGGGGTGTGGCACACGGTAAATAAAGCTAGCTAGTTGGGCGTTTATAGATGCATGAATTCAATTCAATTCAAGTTTATTTATATAGCGCCAAATCACGACAAGAGTCGTCTCAATGCACTTCACATAATAAACATTCCAATACAGATCACTTCATTAAGCCAATCAGTAAAAAGTTTCCTGTATAAGGAACCCAGCAAATTGCATCAAGTCAATGACTAGTGTCAGTGACTTTACAGCAATCCTCATACTAAGCAAGCATTTAGCGACAGTGGAGAGGAAAACTCCCTTTTAACAGGAAGAAACCTCCAGAGGATCCTGGCTCAGTATAAGCAGCCATCCACCACGACTCACTGGGGATGGAGAAGACAGAGCAGACACACACACACAAACACACACACAAACACACACACATACACACACACATAACATGTATACCAAGTAGTGTTTCTATGGTTACACTGTGATTTCTTAGTAACATTGTGATTTCTTAGTAAATATTCTATTTGGTGAGAGATTAACTTTATTGTATTTATCCTAGTGAATCTATAATTAAACAGGTAAACTAGCAGTGGCACATTCAATGTCAAAGAAAGTAAAAAGTTATTATAAGGAGAGGGAGAATGATTAAATGGTTAGCAATAGTGTTCAAGCCGATGGCCCCCTCCATGAGGCCACCACAGCTCAGCAGAACATCACCGTAGCTTCCTCTGGGGAGAAAAACGCTTAGAGAAAAAATAAAGTTAACAGGTGAAATAGCAGGAAATCATACCGTTAAAGAGCAGATTGTAGAAGAAAGTAGTCGAGTGTGGAAAGTGGTCAGTGTGTCCTCCAGCAGTCTAAGCCTATAGCAGCATAACTACAGAGATAACTCTGGATAACCTATCCTTTTAGATGGAGGCATGTTGGAGGCAGGGCAAGGGAGAGCCGTCTTTACTGACTGTACACTCCACCTCCCTCTACTCCCCCACTTGTCCAGATCTAGGCTAACATCAGATTTTAACCATAGGCCCTATCAAATAAAAATGTTTTAAGCCTAGTCTTAAAAGTAGACAAGGTGTCTGCCTCACGGACTAAAGCTGGGAGTTGGTTCCACAGGAGAGGAGCCTGATAACTAAAAGATCTGCCTCCCATCCTAATTTTAGATATTCTGGGAACCACCAGTAAACCTGCAGTCTGAGAGTGAAGTGCTCGGTTAGGAACATATGGAACAATCAGATCACTGATGTATGATGGAGCTTGATTATTAAGAGCTTTATATGTGAGAAGGAGGATCTTAAAATCTAAAATTTAACCGGCAGCTAATGTAGGGAAGCTAAGACAGGAGAGATATGATCTCTCTTTTTAATTCTCATCAGAACTCTAGCTGCAGCATTTTGGACAAGCTGAAGACTTTTAACTACATTCTGTGGACTTCCTGAGAGTAATGAATTACAGTAATCCAGTCTTGATGTAATAAATGCATGAACTAGTTTTTCAGCATCACTCCTGGAAAGGATGCTTCTAATCTTAGCAATATTCCAAAGGTGGAAAATGAAATCCTACAAACCTGTTTAACCTGGGATTTGAATGGCATGTCCTGGTCAAAGATAACACCAAGGTTCCTTACTTTGTTCTCGGAGACTAATTTAATGCCATTCAGGTCAGGTGATTGACTAAGCAATTTCCTTTTCTGGATTTCAGATCCAAAGATGAGAACTTCAGTCTTGTCTTGATTTAAAAGCAGAAAGTTTTGAGCCACCCAATTTTTTATGTCCTCAACACAAGCCTGTAATCTACCTAACCGATTAGGTTCATCAGGGTTAATGGATAAATATAATGGGCCATTCCCATCTGTACCGGGTCGGCCCGGGCCGGGTAGCCCCAGTCGGCCCCAGCCTGGCCCGGTTGATTCCACACATCCTTGTCTTAAGCCCATGTGGGCTGATTCTACCCACCAATCAGAGGCTTGCTCTAATGGAAGGTGTGAATTTGCTGTCAGCAGTGGGTGTGTTGGCCCTGGTCGGCCTGAAGCAGACCCCCTCGAGAAGAGGGCTGAGAATGAGCCTTGGTTGGCCCGGAAAAATACCAGGCCACCCAGATATGTAAACAACCTACGCTGCCCGGGCCGACCCGGTACAGATGGGAATGGCCCATATCTGAGTATCGTCAGCATAACAGTGAAAGTTTATCCCATGCTGTCTAATGATTTTACCAATTGGGAGCATATATATAGTAAAAATAATTGTTCCAAGCACTGAACCCTGTGGTACTCCACAAGTAACCCTGGAGTATGAAGAAGATTTGTCATGTACATTTACAAAATGAAATCTGTCAGACAGGTAGGATTTAAACCAGCCTAACGCTGTGCCTTTGATCCCTACAACATGTTCAAGTCTTTCTACAAGAACATTGTGATCAACTGTGTCAAAGGCAGCACTGAGATCTAACAAGACTAGAACAGACACAAGATTCTTATCTGAGGCCATAAGAATATCATTTGTAACTCTCACTAATGCAGTTTCAGTGCTGTGATACTCTCTAAAATCAGACTGAAATTCCTCAAACAGAGCGTTAGTGTTTAAATGCTTACATACTTGGATTGTGCACAATTCCTGATGAAGGTCTCTGACCGAAAGCTTGGCCAATAAACTCTTACATCGCAGATTGAAGTGTGCAGATTCTCATTTTGTTTATTCCACTTTTTGATCCAGCACCTTTTCCCAGACGATCGGTGACTCCTTCTACTCTGTTTGGATTTGATCTAAAATGCAAGTTGAAGGTTTAGATGAAGCTAATATTTTTGATAACTTTGAAACCTCAACTTGATCAAAACGGTTCAAACACAGATGAGGTTCTACAGTTACCTCCGATGCTGCCTCACTTACTGAGGAAGAAGAAATCGCATTAGGGAGGATGCTAATGATTTTGCTCCTCCTTGAACCGTCACCTTATCGTGGTGGAGGAGTTTGAGTGCCCTAATGATCCTAGGAGCTATGTTGTCTGGGGCACTTAGTGCCCCTGGTAGGGTCTCCCATGACAAATTGGTCTTAGGTGAAGGGTGAGACAAAGAACGGTTCGAAGGATCTTTCATGGCGGTTAAAACGAAGAGTCGGAGTACCCGGCCCGGAGGGTTACCGGGGTCCCACCCTGGAGCCAGGCCTGGGGTTGGGGCCCGTGAGCGAGCGCCTGGTGGCCGGGCTTTCGCCCATGGGGCCCGGCCGGGCCCAGCCCGAACCGGATACATGGGCTCGTCCAACTGTGGACCCACCACCCGCAGGAGGAACATGAAGGGTCCGGTGCAATGCGAATCGGGTGGCAGACCAAGGCGGGAGCCTTGGCGGTCCAATCCCCGGACAAGAAAACTAGTTTTTGGGACATGGAATGTCACCTCGCTGGCGGGGAAGGAGCCGGAGCTTGTGGCAGAGGTTGAGTGGTACCGGCTAGATATAGTTGGACTCACCTCGACACATTGCATTGGCTCTGGAACCCGAGACCTGGAGAGGGGTTTGACACTCTACTTTTCTGGAGTTGCTCCGGGTGAGAGGCGGAGGGCTGGGGTTGGCTTTTTGTTAGCCCCGAGACTCTCTGCCTGTGTGTTGGGGTTTACCCCGGGGGACAAGAGGGTAGCTTCCTTGCGCCTTCGGGTCGGGGAACGGGTCCTGACTGTTGTTTGTGCTTATGGGCCAAATATCAGTTCAGAGTACACACCCTTTTTGGAGTCCCTGGGACGAGTGCTAGATAGTGCTCCATCAGGGGACTCCATTGTCCTGCTGGGGGACTTCAATGCTCACGTGGGCAATGACAGCTTGACCTGGAGGGGTGTGATTGAGAGGAACGGCCCACCTAATCTGAACTCGAGCGGTGTTTTGTTATTGGACTTCTGTGCAAGCCGCAGTTTGGCCATAACGAACACCATGTTCGAACATAAGGATGCCCACCGGTACACTTGGTACCAGGGCAGCCTAGGTCACAGGTCGATGATAGATTTTGTAGTCGTATCATCTGACCTGCGGCCGTATGTTTTGGACACCCGAGTGAAGAGAGGGGCGGAGCTGTCAACTGATCACCACCTGGTGGTGAGTTGGATCAGATGGCAAGGGAACATGCCGCGTAGACCTGGCAGACCCAAACGCATAGTGAGGGTCTGCTGGGAACGCCTGGCAGAAGAACCTGTCAAGACGGTCTTCAACTCCCACCTCCGGCAGAGCTTTGACCACGTCCCGAGAGCAGTGGGGGACATTGAGTCCCAGTGGGCCTTGTTCCACTCTGCGATTGTCGAGGCGGCTGTTGCTAGCTGTGGTCGTAAGGTGGCCGGTGCCAGTCGTGGTGGCAACCCCCGTACCCGCTGGTGGACACCAGAGGTTCGGGGAGCCGTCAGGCTGAAGAAGGAGGCCTACAGGGCGTGGCTGGTCTGTGGGTCTCCGGAGGCAGCAGACAGGTACCGGATAGCCAAGCGGAGTGCAGCAGTGGCAGTTGCCGAGGCAAAATCTCGGGCGTGGGAGGAGTTTGGTGAGGCCATGGAGAAAGACTATCGATCGGCTCCAAAGAGGTTCTGGCAAACTGTCCGGCGCCTCAGGAGAGGAAGGCAGCAACTCGCTCACACTGTTTACAGTGGGGATGGGGAGCTGCTGACGTCAACTGAGGCTATAGTTGGACGGTGGAAGGAATACTTTGAGGAGCTCCTCAATCCCACCAATGCGCATTCCGAGGAGGAACCAGAGCTGGGAGGCCTGGGGATGGACTGTCCGATCTCGGGGGCAGAAGTTGCTGAGGTAGTCAAACAACTACACAGCGGCGGAGCCCCGGGGGCGGATGAGGTTCGTCCTGGGTATCTCAAGGCTATAGATGTTGTAGGGCTGTCATGGTTGACACGTCTCTACAACATTGCGTGGTCATCGGGGGCAGTTCCTAGGGAGTGGCAGACCGGGGTGGTGGTCCCCATCTTTAAGAAGGGTGACCTGAGGGTGTGTTCCAACTATAGGGGGATCACACTCCTCAGCCTCCCTGGAAAGGTCTACTCCAAGGTACTGGAGAGGAGGGTCCGATCGATAGTTGAATCTCAGATAGAGGAGGAGCAATGTGGTTTTCGTCCTGGCCGTGGAACTGTGGACCAGCTCTATACCCTTGCAAGGGTGATGGAGGGGGCATGGGAGTTTGCCCAACCAATCCACATGTGCTTTGTGGATTTGGAGAAGGCTTATGACCGTGTCCCCAGGGGCACCCTCTGGGGGATGCTCCAGGAGTATGGGGTGGGTGGCTTTCTGTTAAGGGCCCTTCAGTCCCTTTACCAGAGGAGCGTGAGTTTGGTCCGCATAGCCGGTAGTAAGTCGGACCTGTTCCCAGTGAGGGTTGGACTCCGCCAGGGCTGCCCTTTGTCACCGGTTATGTTCATCACTTTTATGGACAGAATTTCTAGACGCAGCCGTGGTGTGGAGTGTGTCGAGTTTGGTGGCAGGAGAATCTCGTCTCTGCTTTTTGCAGATGATGTGGTCCTCCTAGCTTCATCCAGCTCTGACCTTCAGCTCTTGCTGGGTAGGTTCGCGGCCGAATGTGAAGCGGCTGGGATGAGGATCAGCACCTCCAAATCTGAGACTATGGTTCTCGACCGGAAAAGGGTGGCTTGCCACCTCCGGGTCGGGGGAGAGGTCCTACCTCAAGTGGAGGAGTTTAAGTATCTCGGGGTCTTGTTCACGAGTGAGGGTAGGAGGGATCGGGAGATCGACAGGCGGATTGGTTCGGCATCTGCAGTGATGCGGACGCTGAGCCGATCTGTCGTGGGGAAGAGGGAGCTGAGCCAGAAAGCCAGGCTCTCGATTTACCGGTCGATCTACGTCCCAATCCTCACCTATGGTCATGAGCTTTGGGTAATGACCGAAAGAACGAGATTGCGGATACAAGCGGCCGAAATGAGTTTCCTCCGTAGGGTGGCCGGGCTCAGCCTTAGAGATAGGGTGAGGAGCTCGGACATTCGGGAGGGACTCGGAGTAGAGCCGCTGCTCCTCCGGATCGAAAGGAGCCAGTTGAGGTGGTTTGGGCATCTGGTCAGGATGCCTCCTGGACGCCTCCCCGGGGAGGTGTTTCGGGCATGTCCTGCCGGCAGAAGGCCCCCGGGTCGACCCAGGACACATTGGAGAGGTTACATCTCCAATCTGGTCCGGGAACGCCTTGGGGTCCTGCCGGAGGAGCTGGTGGACAAGGCCGGGGAGAGGACGGCCTGGAGCTCCCTAGTTGGGATGCTGCCCCCGCGACCCGGACCCGGATAAGCGGAGGAAGACGAAGACGAAGCTAATGATTTTGTTTCTAATGGAATTAATTTTACTTGTAAAAATCCCATAAAGTTGTTGCTGCTGAGGGCTAAGGGAATAGATGGCTCAGAGCTATGATTCTGTGTAAGGTTGGCAACTGTACTGAAAAGAAATTCAGGATTATTCTTATTCTCCTCAATTAGCGATGAAAAATAAGCAGTTCTAGCTTGTTGAAGCTTATTTTTATAAAGCACAAGACTTTTTTTCCAGGATAAGTAGGACTCCTCCTGGTGTGTAGACCGCCAGTCGGGCTGCTTGATTATGGAGAAATAAATCATAAGTATTTAAGATGATTTGTCATGTTGGAAACAGTTGTTGCCTGATGTGCTTTTGTCTGAAGATTCCAGCTGGCGAATCGGTCGACCTGATTCCAGCGTGCTTGTTGAGGAAGTACATAAGCTACGCTCGTCAGTACGTCCATCCCTCCCTCTCCCCTGAAGCGGCTCAAACCCTTCAAGACTTCTATCTGTCACTGAGATCTCAGTCCAACTCTGCTGACGCCACGCCCATCACCACACGGCAGCTGGAGTCTTTAATCAGGCTGACGGAGGTTCGGATATTGCTATGACAGAGTAAACCAGATTCCTGCTGGATGTTCGTTATGACCAAAGGTTTTTTGTAGGCAAGAGCCAAGTTAGAGCTTAGAGAGATGGCTATGAAGAATGATGCGGAGGATGTGGTGGAAATCATGAAATACAGGTAACTGCAGCATTTACGATGCATCACACTTACTTTATAACAAATAAATAAAGGTTCTTCTTAAAGCAGCAATCTGGAGTTTTTCCCTTTTCAGGAATGTATGATTCTTTGACGAATCTGTAAAAGTGATGTCCATCCTGTAGAGCTCCATGCACCGTTCAGCATTATGGGCTTGACACACGGGAGGCGACATCGCCTCTCCTCCATTCATTTTCAATGAGACATGCGCGACAAAGCGATAATCGCGGGTCTCTCTCCTACTAAGCGAAACGCGAAAAACGTGCGTGTGAAAGTTTGCACTCGTGCACATGTCGTGCACGGACGACCCAGCGACGCGATCCCAGAAAGTTGAAACATTTTCAACTTTTCATCGCTGTCGCTCGGACAAGGACCAATCAACGGAGGTTTCATTCACTGACCAATGAGCGGACATAATGCTCCGCACATCTCCGAGCAAACATGGAGGAGAAGTTGATTATTATTATGTTTTATAAAGTAAAATCAGAAGTAAGATTTCACATAACTCTAGCAGCACCTTGTGAAACACCATATCTACCACTTTTTAAACTCTGAACCGCTTAAATAACCTTAATTCCCTCCAACCTGACACAGCCAAACAAAACAACGGAAGTTTCGATTTCGCCATGGAACAGAACGCGTAGACGGCTTTGCCGCTGGCCGCTGCCGCGGATCGCCTCCCGTGTGACAGGTAATAAAAGCGACAGCGACAAATTTCGCTGATCGCGGTCGTTTGTCGCCTCCCGTGTGTCGAGCCCATTAGGACGTACAGCGACCGATGCAGAGTTGGCGATATTTCTTAGGGGCAAGTAAGTCTTTATAATATATAAGGCAAGGCAGCTTTTTTGTATAGCACCTTACAACAGCATAAAACCGACCAAAGTGCTTCACAGAAATTAAAACATTAAAAACAATACACAACATTAAAATGCATAAAAACTAAAGCTTAAGAACTTACACTAAAATTACTAAAAAATAAATAAGGAGTCTTATGCTGAGTTAAAAGCCAAATCATTAAAATAGGTTTTCAAAAGAGATTTAACATTTAATAAATGTGAAATTATGCGTTGTTGCTCTATTGGCTAGAGGTGGGCATTCACAAACGACGCATTATCACAGAAGTAGGGAGAGGGGTTTACGGTGTAGTACATTTCCCCACCTCTAGAGGGTGCTCTCTGAGAAAAAACTGTAGATTTCTGCTTGAATGGTGAATTTATTGTATGTTAATTTTCATTCTTTCATTTTGATTTTAGGTCTCCTGTTCCCATATAAACATAAATATCTTGATATTTTTATGCAGAACAGGCCCTTTGACCAGTGCAGTTATGGGTTCCTGTGTTTTTTATTTTTTGTTTTTATTTTACTGTAAATGTTTTATGTTTGTGTGTTTGAAGTCTGGCTGACACATACTCGGATGGTCTGGGAAATCTGGACTTTGAACGCTCTCAGCTCGGGGCTGGCATGAGTCAGCGCAGTGCAGCAAAGCGACTCATCAACGCACTACACTCGCATGCTCAGAGGACCAATCAGAAGCAGTTTGATTTACAGACACTTCGATCCATAGCTGACAAAGTGAACATAAAGGTGAAAGCATTGGCACAAAATGAACAAAAGCACATTAAAACATGCAAACTTTTCATATCTAAGACATTATACAGATAACGCAGTAAAAGCTGTTGGAAAATTGTTTTAATTCTGTTCTTGATCCTTTCCAGGTGATGGACTTTCAAGGACTCTTGAGTTCCTTGAATGAACAGGGTTTCCTTCTGAAGAAAGGGCCAAAGCTGTACCAGCTGCAGACCATCTAAACACTGACATCTAATTATGTCTAGAACACACAGACTGACAAGGTCAGTGTCTATTTATTTATAATTAAAATGAACAAGAGGGGAAAAGACTTTTGGAGGACATTTCAAACCTGCAACAAGCACAGATGTGACAAAAAGAAGGGAAATTATCAAACTGCTGAAATCTCAGAAAAACGTATGTGAGGGGAAAATGTTTGTATAAATTTTTACATACAAATGTGTTGTCTTTGTTCCTTGTAACTGGATTTGTTGTTTCCATATTTGCACTTTGACTTTCATCTATAAAGCAGGTTCTGTGTGTTTATTTAAACTTAATAAATCTGCTAAACTCTGATAACTGCTCATTAAATGGTTCTGTTTAAGACACAACCAGTTATAAAACTGTTCCAAATTGTTTAAAGGATTATTTCAGGTCAGGGTTTGAGGGCTTGAGATTTTTATTCATCTTAAAATCCAGTTTATCTTTTAGAATTGTATGAACATCAAATTAAAACCATTAAATATTTTGCTAATAAAATTTTTAGTTTTTCGAATTCTAAAAATGAGAAGTCTTTTATTTTGAAACGCAAAAATGTATTTAAATCGTTTTGTATTAAATATAACTGAGGCGGTTCAGGTATGTTTATATTTTATTTAATTTGTTAAATGTAAACTGACGCCGTTGAAACAAAATTACCTTTTCAAAACAAAAACTGTTTACGACATCGCCTGCCGGATCAGTTTACGGCAACATGGCAGCCTGCTGGCTCGAGCAGGGTTCCTGCCTGAATCGGTAACTTCAACATGATCACGCTTTGAAATAAGGAGGTGGCAGCGGGTCGGTAGGCTCGAGAAAATGTTAAACGCGTGTTTTCGGCGGATTTCCGCTCCGTTGTTTAATGCAGCCAGTGTTCCCGGCCTCGTGTCCCCGCGGTGTGCAGGTGTGTGTCGGCTCGCGCCAGCATTATGGCGGTTCGGTCTTCCACAGGTGAGCGGTTCCTGGTTCTTCAGACTGAAATGGACAGGAAGCCGCGTCGCGTGCTGGCCTGGTATCCAGGGTAAATCGCTTCACGCGAGAGAAATCGCGCTCGTGCACCGCGGGGGTCTCAAGAGGTCACCGGTTGGTTTTCAACCTCGGGTGACCTCCAGGGCTCGAGGACTTAGCAGCAGAAAGACCGAGGAGGCTCAGAATAATTCTGGGGCGGCGGACCGGGACGAAGCGGGCTTGGTGCCGGGACACGGGCTGTTCCAGTTCAAAGAGCTGGTAAGTCCAAAAGAGTCGTGTTTTCCGACTCTTAACATAACTTTAACTCAACTCTGATACTTTCAGGTGAACATTCCCTTTGGCTAGATGAACATCTGACCGATATAACAAAGTGCAACACAACACCTAAAGGCAGCGCTTGAGGGCAGCCCCCCTGTTGCCTGGCTGTCCTGGGAGTCGTACTCCGTTACCTGGAGTCGTGCCCCGCTGAACTCTAATGGGTTGTTTTCTTTTCTATTTCCTGGGATAGAAAATCAGCGACCGGGTCTCATGGTGATGACTGGTGGTAGTTTTCAGAAACTTGTTGAGAACCGAAAAAATAAGTTATTGTGTTTCTGTGTGAAATCCTAACTGATTTCTTCCAGCTGAAGGTTTTTCCATGACCTGAGTTTTGGACCTTGTTTATTTTCCTGCAGTATGAAAACCCGTGGACGATCCCCAACCTGCTGTGTATGTGTCGGATCCTACTGGCTCCTTATTTGGGTTATCTGATCATCCATCAGCACTTTGATCTCAGTCTGGCTCTGTTCATACTGGCTGGAGCTACTGACCTGGTAATTCAGACCGTTTCCACTAAACTTTCTGATTTTTGCTTAAAGGTACAGTGTGTGATATTTTTACCTGTTTGCTATCAAATCCTGTTTCCAGTTCACAAACTTGTCCATTTTCACTAATATTTCTCACTAACATCAAATCTAAATATTCCTCTCAACTTGTTATTATACATAAACTGTGGTTGAGGCTCCATGGTCATCCACCATCTTAAAATACAGTAGCTGTTTAGGGACACACAAGCTCCACTTACCCGTTTGGCTATAGCTGTAACCCGAAAGAACCAGCAGAGGGCAGCAGTGCGCCCTGGAAGCATGGAGTCTGCTAATTCAACTAAGAAATAGAAAAAAATAGCTACACCGTTGCTGTACTTGTTTGAATAAAAAACTATTAAATCAAAAGACAAATAATTTGTCTGTTATCATGTCCAGCACAAGGAAGCTGCATGTGTTCAGACCACCCCGCTCGCTATTAGCTGGACGCCAGCCTCTGATTAGGGTCTCTGACTCCCAAACTCACCTCAAGTTGTTCATTCATCTTTTCCTAGTTCCAGAACTCCCGATCCGGTCCCAACGTGTCCAATCTTACTCAAGTCTCCTCTCTTCCCGTGCAGCCTGCCGTCTCGCCCAACACGCTCCAGCGCTCGTCCGCTAGCCAGTGGCTAAATCAGTGTTGTTCATTCATCTTTTCCGAGTACCAGAACTCCCGATCCGGTCCCAACGTGTCCGTTCCAAAGTACTTCTACTCAAGTCTTCCCGCAGCCCGCCGTCTCACCCAACAGCACTAGCCAGTGGCTAAATCAGCGTTGTTCACTTTATCTCCACAACACTTTACTAACGGCGATGTAGTTCTCCACGCGTTACAGAGACGCTCTGACACAGAGGGCTTCTTCTCAAACGTTACGTTTAGACTTTGGCCTCCTTTTGCTGGTAATCCGTGGGAGTTTACGTGCAGCGTACACAGCGTCTCCCCGGCTCTAGCCATGGCCAGCTAGTAGCTCAATAGCTCGTGATGCTGATCTCCACCACGCCAGCCGTGAGCCACGATTAGCTGGTGGATAAGTCAGCATTGTTTACGTGATCTCCAGCATGTCCCCGGCTTACCAACACTCCTTCACCAGCCGTAGTTAACGAGCAGCCAGTGATAGCTCCATATCCTCCATATAAGCTGGTAGCGGCAGCCAGTTTGTTTACTTCGAGGCACCGTGATCCACGTGAAACAGGTGTTGTGTGAAATTATGTTCCCCTGAAATATTTTGTTTCCCTTAGACCAGGGTTCGGCAACCTAATCCCATCAAAGACCCTTTATTACCCGTTTCCCACAGTAAAGAAAACACTGGGAGCAACAGCAGCCACGGCGTTGTGGGCGGGACCTACCCTCAGACAGCAGAGCGCTGCTCACAACAAGTGACAGCAGCCAGTACCGGTCGCTCGTGTACATCAAAGTTATCCTTTCATAAGACGATAATCAATAAAATGATTTATATAACATGGATCCAGAAGTTGTAGCCCGTCTCTACCTACAATATTTAGATATTTTTCACCCTGTTGGTGGTTTTACTGGGCAGGTGTCACTTTTGTCATACATTTCTTTTTAAAGCATGTTTAGACTGTTCAGAATACAAATCCAGGCTCTGTCACGTTTGATTGTTGTAATTAAACTTTGTAGGTGGGGAAGGTCAGAAAAGGATCCGATCATTTTGTTTTTCCCTCATTTACAGCAACAGAGATAACGGCGCAGTGCGCCTGGCTCTGGTGTTAATCAAGTTAAATTTGTAACAATTTTCACAAGAAAACAAAACAGTCAAAAGCAGGGCTTGTGTTGACCGGACAGTTCCCGTATTTGACCGTTTATTCTGATGGAGAAAGAATAGAAAGAATTACCCAGACGCATGCAGACGAACTGACATTTTATTTGTTACGCACATCGCAGATGTAGCTAAATCACTCAAGAAAAGACTCCCATCTGAACATCTGAGCTGGACACCGCTCAGCGCAGCTCACTGTCAGAGTGTACTACATAAGGTCCACAGCGAGCTGAAGATGTGGAGAGGTGCTTGGAGCTCGTAGCAGAACCAGAGCGCATGTGGGAAGATTCCTCCGACTGAAGCGAGACTTGTCACTTAGAAAATGTTCCCTGATTATGAAACTTTGGCTGAATAGCGCTTGTTCCTGTCTCCAATGTGGCGACACATCCAGGAGCCGTCTGAGGAGAGTCCCAGAATCTCACATCCTCTTCAGCTCATAAAGCGCCTATGATTACGCACAAGCGTGACCCGTCAACCCGGTCTCACAGTAGACCGGGTTGGAACTGTTCAGGTTTACGCAGACAATCTTTACATTTAGAATTGGCATACAGATGTAAAATTAATGCAGTAAAATATAAAGCATTTTATTTAAATATCCATTCATTATTTTACAAGCACAGAGAGCCGCATCAGATGGATGGAAGAGCTGCATGCGGCTCCAGAGACGCGGGTTGCCGACCCTCGACATAGACAGTCAAGAGCAAATATTTCCAAATTCACATAACTTATTGTCCATTATGAGGACTAAACTACCTCAAATAAAAGATGGTTAAACGGAGTGAGATTACATCTTTTTACATAACTTTCAAAAATGATAAGTAAGCTTGCTGCAAAAGAGTGAACAAGAATGTTTTTAATGTATATTTTTTATTTGTTTTTTGGAGGAAATACAGATAAAAAATCACAAGCATAACATTATTACATTACATCATTTTACTGTAAAAGTTGATCACAAATATTGTGAAAATAGCCAGAAGTGTGATCTCTCAACATAGGGGACAAAATATTTCAGGGGAACACAATTTCTCACAACACCTGACCTCCCGGCTGATGCCCTCCTCCGCGTGTGAATCGTGACCGCTTCAGAAAAATACAGAACTAGCTTGCTTCCTTCAGAACTGGTAGGTTGATAAACAGTCATAATTATAAATGCTTTTTTTAAAGAGGTCAAGTAGCTTGTTTTAAGCTTTGTGAGTTAGGCTACACAGGTTGGAAACTGATTATACAGTCAAACTCACGAGTGAGCCACCATAGCTGCAATACTTTCTCTGAACTGCACGGTGCTAAAGAGTCACATTTTTTATCATGATTTCAATGGATTTCACACACGGCGCCTTTAACTACATCTTTACACACCTGGACCGCTGTCTGCCTCCTTGTGTCTCCTATAGTTGGATGGCTACATCGCGAGGACGTGGCCCAATCAGAAGTCCGCCTTGGGCAGCGCTCTGGATCCTCTGGCTGATAAGATCCTCATCAGTATTTTATACGTCAGTCTCACCTATGCTGACTTGATCCCAGGTATCAAACCCAGTCTGACATCTTTAGAGAGCATTAAAGAGTGGCTGGGCGACACAAACGTTACTGGTTTGCTTCTGTTTCAGCTCCACTGACAGCTTTAGTGATTTTCAGAGACATCGGTTTAATAGCTGCCGTCTTCTGGGTCAGATACAAGACTGTACCTCCGCCGGTAAGAAACCCTCCACTTTTCTCAGTAAACGACTAAAATCTAACATATTTTATAGAAATCTTTAAAAAATAAGGTTTGAGTATGTACTATTAAATATTAACTAGGGCTGGGCGATGAACAATTTTTAAATATTTGTCGATATAGATAATTATTGAAAAATATTTTAAAAATAGAAAATATATTTTACGTGCAGCCCTGGCCATTTTATTTTTGGTGTTTTTAGTTTTTCTCCCCTTCATCTCGCTGAGACATCTTGCTGCCTCATGCTCTGTTTTGGCTTGAGAAGGGGAAGGCCGGAATCTGTGGTTTTTATTGGTTAGGAGTAAGTAGTGAGTCTAGTATGCTGCTACCTGATAGGTTATAATGAAAAAAGGAAACTTTATCGGAGTTTTATCGACCCATTTTTTTTCTATCGCGCCACATGTCTATGGATAGATATATTGAACTATTGAATTATTGTCCAGCCCTACTATTAACTGCAGTTGACCATGTTAACAAGCTTAAAAAGCTGATTGTTTACTTTCTTTAAGTCAGATTCTCTTTTTTCCCCTGAAAATGTAAAAAACATAAAATTATCCACAGCGAAAAGAAGTCAAACTTTGTGGTGAAATATTTTAAACTCTGACCTCTAATGGAGCGAAGGTGCATTGGTATGTTTCACAAATGATAATATCTACTCTAATAATAAACTTCAAGGATTTCTGGGTTTGTTGTGTTTGCTGCAGTGATTTTTTTACATATCAACTAAACCTTACATTTTACAATCCACTCTTTGTCCCTACAGGTGACCCTTAGTAAGTTTTTTAACCCCTGCTACACCACAGCACAGCTGAGGCCAACTGTATTCAGCAAGGTGAGACGAACACTAAGTAAGGCTGTGAGAACTCATTTTCTTTATAAACGACACGTCTGGTTTTACCTGAGAAGAAAAGGTTTTTAATTACTCAACCTGTTAACGGTGTGGAACACTGAAAACCCATTTTTTATGATTATTTCTGATCATAGTTTTTAATGCAGACTGAACATGAAAACAGTCATCAGCCTCTTGCATGAGCTGCTGGTGGAAAATAGACAAACTTTAGGATTTGAAAAAGCTGACCACTCTACATCACACTGAATTGGACTTGAGCCGCATTGTGGGGGCTTGGTTTTGAGCCAATTTTCCCCTTGTGCTACTAGCTTTGAGATCAGGGCGAGTTTTGAGCTGAGCGCCGTGTACGGAGGTAACGAGGCGATTAACACCATGTGACTAGCTCTTGATCAGCAGTCGGGAGCTCACACGGATCTATCCAATTTTTCATTTATTTTTATTTTTTTGCTTGTCTCTCGTGAGTGCATCGCACTGTTGAAGCGGCGCTGTGACCCCAAAAAGAACCAGAACCACTCATGGTGCATGTGCAAACATGAGTCAACACGGCTCGCCAGCTATTTCCCTACTAACACACATCAGCCGTTTTTATTTGTTCACACACAATAAGGATTGTTAAGAGAACGTTTGCTGTGTTAATGTCAAATTAAACTTATAAAACATTGTTTTACTTTCTTTCTTTCGTCTGCCTCCTCCAACCCCCATAAATCTCTGTGTGTCCTCCTACAGCACTCCTGAAGGACAACATCAATAACACGATCAAAAGTCTGATTGTGTTCTGTAAAAACCACTATTTTTAGGTCTGTTGCTACCAGACCTACAGTATGAGCACATGACTCGTGAGACTTGGTCTACGAGGAAGTGTATAGTTTGAGACGGACCTGAATGCTA